CGTATGACTAGCAGGAGAATTTCAAAAATAAAAATAAAAAAAAGCATTAAAGCATTCTGATCAACGGGTAAGACCTTTTTCTCCATTAAAATTTGTATGCCCCTTTCTTCCAACCTAACCTATCAATACTACGTAAATGATAACCTTATTCATCCAATTATTGAGCTTTTTCAATTCAGGCGCCGTTAGGCATCGATGCATCACGCAGGTGTTATATCAGAAAATGCGGTGTTTCAAAAAACAGCTTCTTATTTAGTATCGTTTTTTTAGAAAAAAAACAAACGTTGTTTCAGACTATGTTTTAGAAATTAGAAAAGTATGGTTTAAAGAAATACCAAGTTCAATGTTTTCTCAAAAGACAGTTCATTACTGCCAGTAGTGTAATGATGTAATATCATTTTGGATGTTGAATAATATAACTAATGTTGAAAATGGTTCTACAATATTCGCACCAAACAAAATCAATATTGTTTTCTCAGAAAACAGCCTATATGACAGCACCACTTCCAAATAATACAACTCAAACATACCCAACACCATTTTTATGAGAAAATAGTACTGTATTCCCAGCAGCACCAATGCCAAACTCCTACCCACTGTATTGAGGAACTACTACATTCGCCATGCCCAACTCATGGCAATCTCACCCTAACCCTAATCCAACGAGTTCACCCGAGCAACCCTGATCCGATCTAGATAAACTCAATACAAGGCTCAAAAAATAGAAAAACAAAAGCCAATCATAAACTAACATACACGAAGAAGAGACAGAATATCAAAATAGTCTTGCGATGTATTAGATGCCAAGGGTGTGGGACTTTCTCAAGGAGTGTATATATATTGATGTATCTCCCTTTTGATACTATTGGTTAATACAATTTTAAGGTGGCCGGCTGGCCGTCCTTCCACCTGAAGTAATCTATATTAGGTGAATCCGATTTCAAGGCCAATCCATTTGATGTCAAGTTGATCATAAAGCATCTCTCAAGGAAATGTGGGTTCAAATGGCAATAAGGTAGTCTCTTCACATTGTGTGCCCCGAACATACATGTCAAGTGGCCATTTCAACTATTGGGTCATTATTGTCATTAGATCACCATACACCCAGCTTTAGCAAAGTTCATATGAGGCCCACTCCATAGGTTTGATCCCATGTCTCCATTGATGCCAAGTGACCATCTCAACTAGTAGATCATCAGCCATACCCAAGTATATATGAAGCATTAATTGCACTGGATCAGGTCATCCTGGCATCCAAATGAATGTATCATATCATGTGTGGTTGATCAAGACATCATATATTATTTATTTATTCCATTGAGACTTTGAAACTTAGTTGTTTTTATTACCTCACTAATACTAGTCAAAGCAAAAGGGATATGTTTCTCATTATTTATTTAGTGACTTGTCGTCCCCGCCTCCCCTTAAGCTAACAACCACCATCTCACACAACTTGCTTTCTCTGTCTCATTATCCTCCTTGTTGGTGATAAGAAAGCCTCTTACATCATATCCACAGTGTACTCCTTTTCCTTTTATTCCCATTGAGAGCTTCTTCCTAGTAGGCCAAGGCTGTATTTGGTTTGATAGAAAATAAGAGATAAATAGAAACTGAAGGAAAGTTGTTAACAAATTTTGTAAAATTCCTTTAAAAACTTTTCTTTCTGTTTTTCTCCTATTTTCTATCAAACCAAACATAGTCTAAATGCCACTTTATCACTAAAGATAGTTGTTTTGGTAAATATCATAATCCATGTATTGATGTATGGTTAATGAAGATGCCAACTGACTTGTTGGTAAGGTCACTGGCTGGTTGTAGCCAAGACTTGGGATCGATTTCTACCTTCACCAGCATTTCTGCAAACCTGGCCAAGTATGGATGAAATCCTAAGGAGGTAAGAACAATACCCAGTATTTATTGCTTAGCAATTGACCATTTATATTTAAAAAGCCAGTCCACCCCTCCTAAGGAGTTGGGATATCCTTCCCCCCTCGCAGAATATGGGGAACATCTCACCATAAATATGTGAAATATTCTTAATGTGTGACTGTAAAGTGCTGTGAGGTGGATGTGAAGAGGATTCAGTGAGGAAACCTAGATTTCCTCCTAAAACCCTCCAATAACTGAGACCGACATTGGATAATGGTCTTTATATTTTTAATTAACCAGCAATAAGGAAGGCAATGAAATCCTAAAAAGGTATGAGCTTGGCTTCGTGTGCACCGATAATTCATTAACTCAGAAACCCAGTATTTAATGCTCAGGCGCCAGGAATGGACTCCCCTTCCTTTGGGTTTGCCCAGAATGTAAATTTTATCTTTATACATTTATATTTAGATTGAGTCTTACATGTTGGATTCAGGTGAGACTGAGGTTGGATTTGGATACTGTATAGCACTCTAGTTGATTAAACTAAAGATTATTAAATATAGGAAAATTTTTCTATAGATACCCTATACTTTAGGTGGAGTGTTAATTTAGTATTCATACTTTAAATTGTGACAACCTAGTACTCAAACTTTTAATTAGGGATAATTTGGTACCCGAGGTTAGATTTTCGTTGGTTAAAAGATAAAAAGTCTTAAATACCCCCAATGCTATTTCGATCGAATAAAATAATTAAAATAACCCATTGGGCAATGCAAGTAGGAACCACTGTTCATACTTGTATTTACAGAGACATTGAGAACTAGCTCCCTCATGCCGGTGGTGTCAGGCGAATGTGCCGCCGGGAAACGGCCTAAAGTACATGATTTAAAGTACGGGTATTAGTTTCTTTATCAAGAAACTAATTGAATCTCGATAAAGTGATACATCTCTTCCTATTCTTCTTCTTCTTCCTCTGCAAAAATATATGCTTTGAGTTGGAGTTCGATTAATTTTACATTTTAATTACCTAGTCTACTTTTTTCCCCTTGATGCTTTTCATGTAGGAGGAGCTTTGTAAATGAAGAAGAAGAGAGCATGGTGTTTTCCAAGATTTTCTTCATCCTGATTATTGTTTGCTTCAGTGCCGCTGTCGCTGTTTCTAGCCAACATGGACTTAAGTCCAATGGTCTTCTATTTTGGCTGGTATTGAATTCCCCAATCACCTAAGCTTCAATTCAGTCACAGCTTCGGAAAATGCAGGGTGTCGTCTCACAAAGACGAAGACTTCTTCGCATAAACCAACAAAAGCAACCATTCCAGAGGAAGAAGATAGTGATGACGACGGAAATAAGATAGTAGGAGCTCCATCCAGTAAACCAACAGTGAAGCTCCACCTCAAACACAAATCGATGACTCATGGAGATGAAGCTGGGAAAAAGGAGTTAGTACATCAATCCACCCACAAAGACTCGACCAAAATTCAGACCCTTTTCAAAAGGATTATAGAGAGAGGATGAACCAGAACACAGTTTCAAGGTTAATAGAGAAGAAGCTGGCAAGGCTGAAGCCTGTGGTTGCACCGGCAGCGGCACCAGAATCTGACACAAGTGGGTAAGCCGGAAGACTTGTGGCAACTCTGGAATCCGGTGTCAACCTCAGGTCAAGCGAGTACTTCATGGACGTTTTTGTGGGTACTCATCCCAAGCCTTTCTCTCTGATTCTTGATACTGGTAGCGATCTCAACTGGATACAATGTCTTCCCTGCCATGACTGCTTCGAGTAGAATGGCCCCCCATACAATCTACAGGAATCGTTGTCCTTTCGAAATGTCACTTGTCGTGATCCTCGCTGTCAGCTGGTCTCCTCCTCTAATCCCCCACAACCTTGCAAGGCCGATAACCAGTCCTGCCCCTACTTCTACTGGGATGGTGATCGGTCGAACACGACCGGAGATTTTGCCCTGGAGACCTTCACAGCAAACCTGACATCACTGACCGAAAAATCAGAAGGGTGGAATGGAAGTGCTAGGAATGAAAGTGATTTTGCCCTGGAGACCTTCATAGTGAACCTGACATCTCTATCGTTTCTCCAACCAATTTTGAAGAGAAGGGTGGAATGGAAGTGCTAGGAATGAAGAGGAAGGCCGGCTCTCTTCTCCTCTTTCGTTCGTTCAACCCATACTGAAGACATTGTTCCTTCAACCTAGAACGAAGACTACATGGGATTAGGGAAAGTGAATAAGAAGGGTTTTTTTGTAAAGGGTATTTTTTGTATTTTTGAAATTTTTAATTCACATGTGAGTTTCTAACTGATAGAAATCTAACGTCAGGTATCAATTGTCGCAAATTAAAAGTTTAGGTACCAAATTGTCGCAAATTGAAAGCTCAGATACTAGATTGTCACGATTTAAAGTACAGATACTATTTTGACACTCAACCTAGAGTATAGGATACCTATAGGAAATTTTCCCTAAAATTTAGACAAATAGATACCATTTACAGCAACTGCAAAGGATAATTTTCTGAATTCCAAGAAGGCACAGTTTTCATTCCGAAAAAAAAAGAAGGCACAGTTTGAGAACAAATAATCCAAAAGCCATAGATGGTCGGTGGCTCTCCATTACTCACCAAAATGGCCATGTATATAGATTACAGAGTCAGGAACCAACCAGTCAAAAACGGAATCATCCCCAACCCCAATTAACTACTCTCTGCCCAAAAATCAACTTTATCTTAGCATCATTTTCCACAACTGCTTGTATTTTGTACTTATTTGGAATGTAAAACGATTCCAGTAAAACTTTTGTTATAGGCTATGTCTGGGCCAGGTTTCATTCAACTACACAACCAAGATGGGTCCAGTTGATTAACCTCTGTGAATTGTGAATCTGTAATAGTAATAGGGGTAAAGTACCCAATACCCAGATCAGACCGGATGAACCAGACTACCTCAGCTCAGCCCAGTCGTACCAACCGGATCAGGCTACCACAATTTTAATGATTTACTCAAAGTAACGAAGCTGAACTCGATGGGATGGTTGATTAACTGACTTCTGCCAAATCTCATGGGATCCCGCCCTGATAAATAACACTCTTCACACGCGTTCTTTTACAGTGCCTCTCCCTCCCTCCCCCCCCCCGGCTCTCTCTCTCTCTCTCTCTACATAGTTGGTTGAAGGCTTAAACTGTCTCTGCTTGAACAAGTTCATTCCACTCTATCAAGGAAGCAATGGAAGGGGGAATACATCCAGGAACAGATGCCTCGGCTTTCAGGGATTGTATCTCTCTGGCCTGGAGGAACCCATATGTACTCCGTCTCGCTTTCTCAGCCGGAATCGGTGGTCTTCTCTTCGGCTATGATACTGGTATTCTTCTTTTCTTCCACTCTCAGCTGTGGCTTCACCCATCTGGGTTTTCTACTTCTATCTCTTTCTCCGTTGATTTTTTTTTCTTGAAACTTGTGAATGACCCATCATAATCTAAAATGAAATGGAGATTCTTCTTTTGCATACTGCTCATACACTAGGAACATTCAGTGTTAGAGAATATCCATCTTTTCTATATCTTTCTGTCAGTTTTTTCTCTCTTTTTTCTTCCTCCCGTGAAATCTCACCAGCTCAGTGATCTTTTATCATTTATTAGGAATAAAGTCATCTGGGTTCTTTTTCTCTTCTTTCTCCCCCTCATTTTTCCCTATTGCAGAGTATTTTTTTTCTTTTTTTCTGCTTTTTGTGCTCAATTCTGAACATCAATTAGTTATTGAACTTTTGGTACTTGAAACGGTGAACTTTTGATTATTCAATTCTACTTTCGGAATCTTCAAGCTATCCAATACACTCAACTTTTCTATGTTAGTGTGTTAATTATCCCCTAGATAATTACCAATTGTGGGATCTGGACTCATGCCTTTCTGTTGATTTTTGTGAACTTCAGGTGTGATTTCAGGGGCACTTCTTTATATTAGAGATGACTTTAAGTCTGTTGACAAGAAGACTGTTTTGCAGGTGAGGACTTGAAGTTCTTCCCTGTGGAAAAGAAAGCTGTATTTTCTTTCGCTCTTCTTGATAATTTTCTTCTTATTTTTTTTCCCTTTGGTGGCTGGGAGCCTGGGAATTATTCATTTGAAACTTGAAAGGGATGAAGCTCTGTTGAAGTTTTAACTATTTTAAAGCTTTAGAGTTGTTTGCATTCATCACATGAGTGATAACCATAATATTTTAATATCCTAAGTGTCTGGAGTGTTCCACAACTTGGTGATTGTCATAATTCTTCTCTTCTTCACCATAAAAAAGAAAAAAAAAAAAAAAACTCGTAAGCTAAGTAAAATAATTCAATCAGACACGTGGCATGCATATAGAGGTTTACAATCCTATCCTTTGGTTAAGCCCCAATTGTTGTAATCATGTAAAAGCCCATGGTCAAAATCATATAACCCAAAAATGTGACTATAAACTAGCCCGGCCCAAGATGCCTAGATCAGCTCTTGCCTGCAAAGCTATTAACCAGCCTCAGGCCCATTTCAGGTTTGTGGAAATCGCAGACTCAGCTTAGGTCAGCTTGTTGACTACTCTATTTTATATTTAGACCTATTCAATTCCAAAATTGCAATCATGTAAAATCCACATGGCACACCACAAATGAAGGGATGAATTAAAAATAAATAAATAAATACCCGAACTATTTGGATAAAGGAGCTTTGGTTGAAACTTGGGCTTAGCTCATGGGCCTGTTAAGCTTAGGGTCAGTTACTGCTCTTAAGAAACGTAAGTGCAACTTCAGTAATGGGCCCATCTGGGCCCATCTCTGGCTCATCGGCAGTCTTACTCATGATTCCCATTTCATGTTTCAATGCCTCCCTAACCCATCTTCAGAAAAACCAGAATGACCTTGTCTGCACCAATTTATAGCCATGATAGTGTTCAGAGAACTTCTGTCACTTCTTTCCTACCAGTGCAAGTGATCTTCTTTTAAGAACTACATCTACACGATCCCCTTCTTTTGATGAAGACATCTCCAGCGCATTTCTCCTCACTAAGCATTTTGATATATTTCATGCGTATAGGAGAGCATTGTTAGCATGGCTGTTGCAGGAGCAATCATAGGCGCAGCCATAGGCGGATGGATGAATGACCGGTTTGGACGGAGAACGTCGATTCTGGTGGCTGATTTCCTATTCTTCATTGGGGCAGTAGTCATGGCTTCTGCTCCCAACCCAGCTCTTCTCATTGTTGGTCGGATCTTTGTTGGTCTAGGGGTCGGAATGGCATCCATGACATCTCCACTTTACATCTCAGAAGCGTCTCCAGCTAAGGTCCGAGGTGCACTAGTCAGTACTAATGGCTTCCTTATAACCGGAGGCCAATTTCTGTCTTACCTTATCAACTTAGCATTTACCAAGGTAAGCAACAACTTCTACTAGTAACCAGACAAACTACTTGATAGTTTTGTAACGAGTTTGCTTTTCTAAGCCATTGAGAAAAATTAAGAGCAGAAATTCTATCAAATAGAAAACTGCATTTAATCTGATTCAGTATCTTACTGATACAAGATGGTAACTTGAAGTTGGGTTTGGCTTCAGGCACCTGGGACATGGAGATGGATGCTTGGAGTTGCTGGAATTCCAGCTCTGCTGCAGTTCGGATTGATGTTAGCTCTTCCAGAATCACCACGTTGGTTATATAGAAAGGTTCTCTCCTTATTATCCCATGATTCATGCATACAAGCACGTACACCCATAGAGTATTCATCAATCCAACATGAATTTATTTGTTAACCAATTTACTTCTTTTCTTTTTCTCTAAATCACGCAGGGAAGGGAAGAAGAAGCCAAGACCATACTTAGAAAAATATATCCAGCAGAGGAGGTTGAAACAGAGATCCAAGATCTTAAAGAATCAGTAGAATCAGAGATAAAAGAAGAGGGATCTGCTGAGAAGATCAATTTCATCAAGCTGTGGAAAACCAAGACTGTGAGAAGAGGACTCCTTGCAGGTGTTGGGCTTCAGGTATTCCAACAATTTGTGGGCATAAACACAGTTATGTATTACAGCCCAACCATTGTTCAGTTGGCTGGTTTTGCATCCAACCAAACAGCTCTCCTTCTCTCACTTGTTACAGCAGGTCTCAATGCCTTTGGCTCCATAGTGAGCATTTACTTCATAGACAGAACAGGAAGGAAAAAACTTCTGGTCATCAGTTTGACTGGTGTCATTGTATCACTTGGAGTTCTATCAGCTGTCTTCCATGAAACAACATCACATTCACCACAAGTCAGCAGGCTGGAGACAGCCAAGTTCCCTGCCTATACCTGCCCAGATTACCAGGCAGCAGGAAATGCTGCTTGGGATTGTATGAAGTGCTTAAAGGCTTCATCTCCAGATTGTGGGTTCTGTGCATCTGCCACTGACAAGGTACACTGTTACTCTACGACCATTTATATTAGGCTTTTTAGTTTTTAGCAGACCATGCATGAATCAACTTTGAAAGGGGGGGGGTGGATATCTCTGTGGTTTTATTAACAATGACCCATTAATTTTTGTTGCAGTTATTTCCTGGTGCATGCTTGATCTCAAATTCGACAGTCAAGGACATCTGTCACGGAGAGCATAGGCTGTGGTACACAAGGGGATGCCCTAGCAGATATGGGTGGCTTGCTTTGATTGGATTGGCACTTTATATCATATTCTTCTCTCCTGGGATGGGGACTGTTCCTTGGATTGTCAACTCTGAGATCTATCCTCTGAGGTTCAGAGGGGTCTGTGGAGGAATAGCTGCCACTGCAAACTGGGTATCCAACCTGATAGTTGCTCAGTCCTTCCTCTCATTAACAGAGGCAATTGGGACATCCTGGACCTTTTTGATATTTGGGCTGGTCTCAGTTGTTGCTCTGTTCTTTGTTCTGGTTTGTGTGCCAGAGACTAAGGGGCTTCCAATCGAGGAGGTGGAAAAAATGCTGGAACAGAGAGCGCTGCAGGTCAGGTTTTGGAAGAAGGGCTCAGACCATTTACAGAAGAATTCACAAGTGTGAACAAAGAGGGTAGTGTAATTATTTACTATTGGTTGTATGGGAGAGCCCATACCCTGAAAATTAACATTGGGGTCTCCAAGATTAATACTAATTTAGAATTGGAGATCAGTAATGTAATACATTATGAGTGCTTTTTCTATACCAAGAAACTCCATTGACATTCTTGTCCCCAAAGATTTTACCATTGGAAAACAACTCACAACTAAGTAGGATTAGTAAAAGTATAAAGAAATGTAGTTCATATGAGCATTCAAAAGATGTGATCATGCAAATTTCAATAAATTGAAACAATTAAGTTCAGTAAATGATCTTCTGTAGGTTTCAAAATGGCCCGATAGTAGCACATAACATTGCAGCCACACATGGGGAACATCTCATCCTCTTACATGTTATTATGCACAGGGAGATTGTTCCCAATGCACAGAAGTAGTGTTTTGTGGGTAGGCATGGGTAAAGTTCTTGGGGGTAGGAGATCCGGGGTGGTCAAGAAATATTAGAGAGCCAGACAGCCAGCCCGTCTAAGGCCCTTTTCTATACAACCTATTTGGCATATAAAACGTAAATCAGATGAAAAGATTGCCCTTCCAATAACACTCATCGAATATCAATCATTAATAAAAAAGAATACAATGGAGATTATGGAGTGCCAACCACAAGAGTAGGCTAAGGCCTTTTTTTATATCTGGAAATACATTAAGCACAAGGAATCTAAAACCCCAAAATGAGAACTCAAAATTTCCAGTCTTCCCAATCTCTCCCAGAGTGAGTAAAAATGCATCTCAAGCAATATGCTCTGCCATGCTTTTTCTTCCTTGGCTCATGTGGAACTGGCCCAAATACTCTAGTACCGATTGGCTCTCCTTGCTTGTTGACAAGGACCACTGCATTATCATCAAAATCTTGATCTCACTCCCCATCACAACGGCCTCGCTGCATGGCAGCACGCACAACCACACCATAGACAACATCTCCTTTCTTTACTTTTCCACGAGGTTGGGCTTCCTTCACTGATGCTATAATTGTGTCTCCCAATCTTGCCCCTTTCTTCCCCTTCAAGGCTTGTATGCACATTACCTGTTTTGCCCCTGAGTTATCCACAACTTTGAGGTTAGTCCTCATTTGTATGAAGGTCCTTTGCTGCTGGGAACAACCAAAAATCACTTAATATCAGCTTTGATCTCTGATAATTGGGAGTTCCATGATTTATAAGGATATTACAGAAGAAAATGAAATGCCTACTGGATAGAACTTGAAAATTTTATCAAGGCATACAAGTAAAAATGTTGTACAGGGGGTAGACCTACCATTTGACCATTTCACCGGTGAGACCAATAACAAATAGAAAAAGAAAAGAAACAAAGAAATAAAGACAACTGAATTACCATGACCACCCAAGCAAAGAAATCCATCTCAGATAGTAGAAAGAAAATTGGCAGATAGTTCACAATTCCTGAGGATGGATGGATAATGACAGCTATATGATCCAAGCAAGATTTACAGCAAAATAGATCAGACAGCAAATAGTTTGTCTTACCCACCATTTGCTGGTGAACCTGCATATGGTATACCATCATCCTTGTCTACTTGACATGAACTTCTATTTACCCAGTAAAACATCCAGTTAAAAATCAAAAATCTCAAATCCATTGCAGAACCTTGACTTAAATATTCAATATCTGATGTGAGTGATATATACTTGTCTAATATGAATGATACACTATCCTCACCACAGAACTAGTGCCACATGTTGCCAATTTTTTTATAATATCATCAATTGTGTAATGCTCAAAGGCATCTAATGGCTTGACCTAGTAAGCAACTTTGTTTTTCACATTCCCAATAATGGATTCAAGGCTTGGAGACTTGTCTTTAAATAATCTTGCATAGGGATGGCAATTTTCCCATCCCAGCCGGGTACCCGACCTGGGGAGTGAAGTCCGCCTCAACAGATGTGTGTATGATATTATGTATATTTTAAAATTATCCTTTATTTCAAGTAAATCTATTTTCCAAAAAAAAATACTTTTAATTAAAATATTTAGGGGATTTGGGTCCCTGTAGGGGTGGAGGAATACTTTTATCCCTGGTGGGGATTGGGGATGGGGATAAGGTCCCCACCCCAAACCCACCTGATGTAAGACCAGCTTAGTTCTAATCCTAGAATCACTTACAGAGTGCCTAGAATCACTCTAGGGCATGGGAATCACTCACCATAGCTAGCATAAGCTGAAAAAAACTCAATAAACTTCATTGCCTTTGTGTAAAACGTCCATGCATATTTATAGACTCTAAACTCATAATAATCCTAGGAGTCAAACTGTTAGACTCAATAATCCTAGTAGGACTCAGACTAAACTGTCATATCCTATTTCAATTCAAAGAAGACTCAATAACTTTAGTCCTGCTTATGCAATGACTCTAAAATATTAAACATAAACCAACTATAACTAGACAAAATAAACCCTATCATTGGACCCCACAAAAGATTGAAAAATGACAAAAATACCCCTACTGTCCAAACATACAGAAATACATAAAATATCATAAAATTCCAATTTTGACTCTTCAGCTCCTGCATCATTCTCCCCTAGTTCAAAAAAACTCGTCCTCAAGTTTTGAAGAACTTAAGGATGAAAATTCGATATACCCCAATTACAAAAGGAGTAGGACTTTCAATAACTACATGCTTGGACTGTAGAGTAGAGTCCATACACAGAGATAGAAAAGGATCTTGAAAGAAATGCATTTCTGAAACACTGTGTTCCATAACCATCTTTGTTAAATTATCAATAACATTGGCTTCTTGAACACTTGAATCATCAACCTGCCATTGTGATAAATCTTCCCCTCGCTTATCCAAAATCTCAACTACAACATTTGAAACTTTTCCTTCAATCTCTAGCTTAGGAATCACCATTCTATGTGCTCTGCTATCCTTGGTTCTTCAACAATCTCTAAGACTCCTTCCATTGTTGATGTTGGTGGAACTTGTGCTATGTCAGGTTGTAATTCTTGAATTGGTTCTAGTTGAACTTGAAAGGTAAAGTCACTTACTTCCTTACCAGTATCTACTACAATTAGCACATTTGTATCTTGCACCTGAATTTCTTTAACTTGCTCCACTTCTATTTCTTCTTGATCATTAACCTAAAGCTAACCATGGGTGTTGGAAACTCTAGCGATTTCTATTTTTTCTTGGCCTGCATCCTCTTGATTTTTAATATCCACAACTCTAGCTTGTCTTCTTCTTTAGCTTCATCCTCAACTTCAGCTCTAGGATAGACATCAACATCCAAGGAATCATCTACTTCCTTTTCAACTTTGTACCTTCTTCCCCTTGACTTCAAGCTCTTTGTTGTAACCTGTTGCTTTTTCTTTTGCTCGAAATTAGTCAACTCATCACGGAAGTTTAGTGGGATGTACTTTTCTTGCAAACACCTCTTCATCTCTGCCCATGTACTAATTGGATCATTGCCTCTATTTTCTAGTCGTTGCTCAAGAGTTCTCCACCATACTTTAGCACGACCCATCAGCTTCATGCGTGCAAATCTAATCCTTTGTTTGTCAAACATATCATGCCAATCAAAATATTCTTCTAGTTCCGCAACCCAATCAAAGAATGCTTGCGGAGCATCAACTCCTTTGAAATCTGGTATTTCCTTTTCTCTTCTAACACGTTTGAAAACCTTACTCCCGTAGCCAACATTATTAGATCTATTTTCTTCCACCATCTTCTCAAATAAGTCAGCTAAAGACCCTTCATATGGTTCAGAAAGCCAATCATCATTGATTCTAGACCGTAAGATTGTCTAGAAGATACCCAAGGCCTATTGAATCCGTCACTTTGTGAGAACACAGTGAATAAACCATTAGCTCTGATACCAACTAATGTAGGACCAGCTCAATTCTAGTCCTCGAATCACTCACAGTGTGCCTAGAATCACTCTAGGGCATGGGAATCACTCACCATAGCTAGCATAAGTTGAAGAAAACTCAATAAACTACATTGCCTTTGTGTAAAATGTCCATACATATTTATAGACTCTAAACTCATAATAATCCTAGAAGTCAACTTGTTAGACTCATAATAGTCTTAGGAGTCAAGCTGTTAGACTCAATAATCCTAGTAGGACCCAAACTAAGTTGTCATATCCTATTTCAATTCAAAGAAGACTCAATAACTCTAATCCTACTTATGCAATGAATCTGAAATTTTAAACATAAAATAACTATAACTAGACAAAATAAACCCTAACATTGGACCCCATAGAAAATTGGAAATGACAAAATTACCCCTACTGTCCAAAAATACAGAAATACATAAAATATCATAACATTCCAATTTTGACTCTTCAGCTCTTGCATCACCGCCCCATTGCCATGCCTAAAAATTCCATACATTTATTTCCTCCCGAAAGAACCATAGAATGTGCACCTTAACACACCTCCACAAACCTTTTTTTTATCAACAAAAATAGTAGTTTGTTAAAATTGATGAAAATGGAGTTAAAACATTCAATTAACAGGACCACCCAGGAGCTGGAACAGTATTATTACATAGATGCCCAAAACAGTTGCTGCCTCAAAGCCCATTGCTTAGTGAGGGAATCAACCATCCCATTAGATGTCTTCACCCATTTAAAGTCAGCATTAAAGTCCTTTGCAATATTTTCAACTTCCCTAAAAGCGTGTTTGAGAGTCCAGTGTATGTGTCTGTTGCAGCTTGCCCAAGAGATAATTAGCTTTGAGTCCCCTTCCACCTCCACCTGTCTATAGCTCAACTATTTTCCTAATCTTAGACCCCACAGCAAAGCCATCAGTTCAGCTTTTAAAGAGTTTCCCATTCCAATAGGCCCTGAGTACAATGCTAATATCCTGCTATTAGAGTCCCTAAATGCACCTCCTAATCTTGCCTCTCTTCTTTAGTGATGAGGCGCTAAACAATTTTTCCATGTCCAGGGGTTTGCCACCACCCAAATACACGATGCAAATAGGTAGGAGATTAGCATGTAGAAAGCCCACATACTTCACAAAGAAGACACACATGGGGTGATAGGCACCTGGCACCGAAACGCCATTCTTCTCTAAACATTGTCACAAGTATTACTTTTACATCTCAACATAATTGTCAAGGCAATGCCTAGGCGATAAGGTGCTCATGGCGGGTC